CAATGGTTCAAACCTGAGGCTCGAGAGACTACATTATTTGGGCAATAGGCTTCACAGCATTAATTTGAGCAGGGCACAGAGGCTAAGATCAAGTTATCATTTGGCGTCCCACGATGCTTCACAACAGCTTTGTTTTGTTAGATTGTGGGAACTTTAAATGTTTGCTTAAAAACAGTTTTCTCATATACTGTTTTGTGATAGTGCTGCTGTACCATCTATTTTGGCCTCAGACTTTAAAGCAGGCTTGGTTTTCCATTTATTTATTTCACTTACTCTGTTTTGCAATGTAAAATGGCCTTTTTTTTTTTTTTTTTTTAGCTAATGGAACTGCTGCTGCAGCTAAACAATCAGTTTGGGATGGATTCTGTTTGAGCCACTATTCTCTGGGACTTTATGCTATAGCTTTGTTTAAGTGCCAAGATATGGCCCGAGGCTTGCACAGTTTGATCACATGAACCTAGTGATTCCGTCACCATTGGTCCAAACTTTTCCCTTCAGGCATTTCCCCTCATAAACAAATCCCAATCTGATCAACAAGGGCGCCTTCCAACATAATTAACTCAAAGCAAATTCTTACCAAGCAAAGAGCACAGGATCAACCTCTTTTAAAGGCTATTTTCCCTTCCTATACTACCACTTTTCATTCTGTAAACAATTCCACATCTCCTAAATCTTTTCATCTATGCCAAGAATTCACAATTTATAGTGGTTTTGGATGAAAGTCCTATAAGCCTCAGGCAGGGGGCCACAGGGTTCAGTGTTGTGGCCCACCAGGGGCTGACGGAGCTGGCAGCAGAGCTGGACAGTAATGAGGAGGTTGGGGAGGAACCTGGACCAGTCTTGGAGGCTGAAAAATGCTCGGACAAGGGCTCTGCATTGGAGGCAGGGATGGGGCCAGGGCAGGCTGGCAGTCATCAACTGCCTTCTGACTCAGACAGCAGTGAGGCGGGGGAGTTTCTGGAACCGGTTCCCAGCCTGCGCACGCGCATGTGCAGAGCTACCAGAAGACAAGAACAATTGAGAAAGCAGGGTCGACTCAGGAGTAAGGCCACACCTCGGAGATGATTGGCCCCTCCCATAAGACATAAAAGAGGAGCGAAAGGGGACGTGAGCTTTTGCAGGAAGCAATTAGTAAATCTGGTCGATTCAAGCTTTGAAAAGTCCTGTTTGACTCTGTGTCAAGTTTGGCTTTGCCCTGCGTTTGGCAATTAGTTCTCTGGCAGCATTCCAAGTGCGATAAGGGGGGGGGATGTTTATAAACATTCCCCTGAAAGACTGTTTGTGAAGCCTTGCGGGCTGTGAATGAATGTAATTCACAGCCGTGGAAATAATTTTTTTTTTTGCCGGGGCTAAGATTGTTTTCTAAGGAAGCCTAGTTCAGAACACTCAGTGGTTAAAGACACTGAGCTTGTTCGATAGAAAGCTGACAGTTTGGCTTCAAGACCTCAGCACTGCATGATGGGATAAGCTCTTATTATTTGCTTCAGCTCCTGCCTACCTAGCAGTTCTAAAGCAGGCAAATGCAAGTAGATAACTAGGTACCATATTGTGGGAAGGTAACAGCGTTCTGTGTACCTCAAGGTATAGTCATGTGGCAGAAATGTCTTTGGAAAATGATGCCCCCTCCTTGACTAAGAAACAGAGACCTTAGAGTTAGATATGGGACAGGGGAAATCTTTACCTTTACCTAAGCCTCAGGCAGCACAGTCAATGGCTAAGAAACAAGGAAGTTGGGTTTATAAAACATCATCATCTTTTCATTTCATATCTATATCAGGTGTTCTCTTACACCTACACCTTCTGGTCATTTCATTGTGCTTGCCATTGTCAGCCACATTTTAACTCTACCACCTGTAGGGAGCAATTCTGTGCTCTCCATTTCTCGGCCACTCCTGACACAAAAGTACCCTTTGTACTTGGCTGTGCCCTATGGGGGTCACATTCCTCTTTTCCTTCAAATTTCACCTTGAAGGTTCCTAAAAAGCAAGTAACAGACTGCAGGTTCATAAAGTGGAAGAACTAATGCAAAAGGGCTGGGGCTTTGCCAGAGCGGGAGATTTCAGGACCTCGGAGAGCTCACATATCTACAGTGTATTGCAAGCTTCGTTCATTCTTCCCAAAAATTTGATTCTACCACTTCTCTGTGGCCGACAGAGAATCTAAAAATTCTAACACGACCAAGTCTACCTTTGCTTTCACCTGACTTGATTTAAAGCATGTGTGTCTCTTCAGGAAGCCATGAAAAATAAGCGAAAAATTGGTATGATGAAAATAAAAATGAAAACAAATAAAAGCTAGCTGATTTATATCCTTCCTTTGTTGTAGGTGCATTCCCTTCGAATCAGTTGGGGCTGAGGTACAATAAATATTTTTTGCCCGCCGCAATTTTTCTTTCCTTATTTTTTGCCCATGTGGCTGGCTGCTTTTTCCCGTGGTTGCTCCTCCACCCCCCTGAAGCTGTGTGTATTTTAGTATGACTGCAGAGGCTATGCAGATGTAAACTGTGGAGTCCTTCAGATAATAGAATGGCTACGTTCTACAGTTGGAATAGGGGACAAATGTTTCTGAAAGGTTCCCCTGAACCTTTGTCCCTCATTTGTCCCTTGCTGGCTAATGATCCTGTCAACACACAACAGACCCTTTTGAAACACCGTTTTTGTCCTAATACTCTTGGCTTCTTGGTTCACAAAGGTCACCCTATCCAAGCATCCATTGCTGCTGTCTTTGCTTGCCTTCATTTTTTTTATTATTCTTGCATCTCTTTAATTAGGAATAAGGAGGCCACCCAAGAATTAGCTTCAGACCTTGACACTAAGGTGACGAATAACAAGCATGGAAACTGCAAGGCCACAGGAAGCAATTGCATCAGAGGGATACTTAAAGCACGGCTGAGAATAAATTAAAAGGATAAGTAACGGCAGGCAGAGAATGGAAAGCAAAGAGTAGGCAGGAATGACATACGAGGAGTAAAATTTATAGTAATTGAATCGCTTGGAAAACACGCATGGAAATTCCAAAAATAGCAGCTAATGATCTTATCTACTGAATGGTGAATGATTAATTTCTAGTTAGGAAGCAATTATGTTGTCTTTTCACTGTGCTGTGCTGAGATATACAGTAAAGCCCATGGTGAGTTTGACAAACAGTGGAGAGAAATGAATTTTGAATTAATAGCTTTAGAGGAAAGAAGAAACAATCTTCATCTCTTGTTGTGTCCCAACTCTTAGTTTTTTCTCTTTTTCTGGCATACATGCAACTGACTCAACAGATTCTCAAAGTGCGTATGTGTTTGGGTATGTATATGTAAAAGGTCAAGGTCAAGGTTCCCCTCGCCCCCTCGCTAGTTGTTTCTGGCTCTAGGGGACAGTGCTCATCTCCGTTGCAAAGCTGAAGAGCCAGTGCTGTTCGAAGACGTCTCCGTGGTCAGGTGGCCAGCATGACTAAACGCCAAAGATGCATGGAACGCTGTTACCTTCCCACCAAAGTGGTCCCTATTTTTCTACAAGCATTTTTTACATGCTTTCAAACTGGTAGGTTGGCAGAAGTTGGGACAAGTAACGGGAGCTCACTCCATTATGTGGAGCTAGGGATTCGAACCACCGAACTGCTGACCTTTCTGATCGACAAGCTCAGCATCTTAGCCACTGAGCCACCATCTCCCCAAGTATATATAGGGATACTACAAAAGCTACTGTATTCTACATTTTGCCACACCTTTGCATGGTAAGCTTTTGCTCAGAAAGACTCATTTTATGTGCACCTAGAAACATCTAAAGTTGTGTGTATGAAGGGAGGTTAACCCATGGATTTTTTTTTCCTTATTGAATTACAATCCTATCATGTTATACAAGTAGTCTGACCTCTGACCACAATTTAGTTCAAAATTTCCACTGCTAAGTGAGACATTTGTGCTATGAGTTTTATCCCTTTTTATGACTCTTCTTGCCACAGTTGTTAAGTGAAACACTGCAGTTGTTAACTTAGTAACACAATTATGAAGTGAATCTGGCTTCCCCACTGACTTTTCCTGTCAGGTCACAAAAGATTATCATATGACCTCAGGACACTGCAACCGTCATAAATATGAATCAGTTGCCAAGCATCTAAATTTCGATCCTGTAACCAAGAAGATGCTACAACAGTTGTAAGTGTGAAAAACGATCATAAGTCACTTTTTTCAGTGTCATTGTAGCTTCGAATGGTCACTTAATGAACTATTGTAAGTTGAGGACTATCTGTATATGTAGTATAGCTGGGAGGAGAAAGCAATTCCTATAACACAAGGAAAGATATACAGGAAGTCTGACGATCAGTTTAAGAAATGATCTGTTAATACTTGAAAAATTGTCTTCTGCATACATTGCTATTGTATTATTTAATTTAATTAATGCCAAACCATTTGTTTCCAAGAGGAAAGTCAAGATCCATGATGGGGCTATGATCCATCGTAGGATAAGTTGCATCCCTTCTATGGAGAAAGAAGAAAGCTTGCAAAAAATAGAAAAGTGGAGAGAAAGAAATGGGAAGAAAAGGAAAACCAGAAGACTGTATTTAGGGAACTTTCCTCCAGTTGGTATCCTCCGAACATCGGGATTCCTAAAATTCAGAATTTATTTATTTATTTATTTGCAAAGTTTATTGGCTACCCACCTTACCACAGAGTAACAGTTGCAAAAAGACAAAAAACTACAGAGAAGGCTGCTATGCCAATAAATGTGGAGAGTATTAGCTGAAGAAGGTGATCTGAATCTAGTTCAGTAAAATAATTTCATCACAAATTCTAGAATAAAAATGCTTAAATATTTTCTGCATTGCAAAAAAAAATAAAAATACAAAACAAAATCCAGTGCAAAGAAGGTTTCTGAATCTTGAAGAATGCCAGATTGCTCTAAATAATATCTGTGAAATATAGTAGAAGTCGTAGAAGCAATCCTGTTTAAAACTAGCATTTTTCTCTCTGCCCATCTAACCCTCAAGAAATCCACTACAGCAAGGATTACCTTAGAGTTTCTCCAGAAGATCCCCTTCTTTTCCACAGGTTGATCAAACTGCTCGAACGGCTGGCCGCAGAAGAAGGCTTTCCATCGCCCACGTGCATGCGAACCACAGTTGACGTGGTGAACGCGCTGCGTACGTTCCTCTCTGGCTTGGCAAGGATGATGTACACCTTGGGTACGAACATGCAACCAAGGGCTACGGTGGCACTCAGGCTTACCGAAAAGCACATGGTGATAATCTTATAGTTGCTCCCGAAATAAATGGGCACAAAGGCCAGCCAGATGATGCAGGTGGTATACATGGTGAAGGCGATATATTTGGCCTCGTTGAAATTAGCAGGGACGTTTCTGGTCTTGAACGCGTAAAAGGTGCAGCTTAAAATGAGCAAGCCATTGTATCCGAGAGGGGTGACAACCCCCAAGTTGGTGGTGTTGCATATCAGGTACACTTCTCGGATACTTGGGTAATCGTGCTTGATATTCGGGGGCTCCATAATGAAGAGGGCAACGATGATGCCAAGCTGAACGCAGATCAAGATAAAAGCTATGATGAGCTGGGCACAAGCGCTCATGAACCGGGGCTTTTTGGTACAGATTTTCTTCTTGCTGCCAGCCAGAATCCGGGCGATGCGGTTGGTTTTCGTCACGAGAGCTGAGTAGCTCATAGCTGGGGAGAGACCAATGCCGATCCTTTGAAGGTAACAGTAGATCTGCTGGGGCTTTGCAATCAGGCAGAAGGTGCACAGGTAACCCAAAAAGATGCCAGCCAAGATGATGTAGCAGAGCTCTCGGCTGGAGGATTTGACAACTGGCGTGTCACGGTACATGATGAATACGGCAGTGACGAATAAAGTAGCCAGGAGACCCAAGCAGGCAAATACCACTGCAGCGATAGGCTCTGGATCGCCCCATCGTAGATATTCAACTGGGATTAAATCGCAACCTGGTAAGGAGAGGAATAAAGAAGACAATGTTTTTTTTTTAAAAAAATAAAAACAGAAACCCTGGTTAAGGTAAGTAGCAATAGCACTCAGACATATATGCCACTTCACAGTGCTTTACAATCCTCTCTAAGTCGTCTACGGAGTCAGCATATTGCCCCCAACAATCTGGGCCCTCATTTTGCCAACCTCGGAAGGATGGTAGGATGAGTCAACCTTGAGCCTGGTGAGATTCGAACTGCCAAATTGCAGGCAGCTGGAGGTCAGCAGAAGTAGCCTGAAGTACTGCATTCAAACCACTGTGCCACCTTGATTCTGCAGACACCTGTTCCTTGATATGTTGCTGATGAGAAAACAAATCATTGCTCCTTCTAATTTCTTCAATCAATCTAGAAATCACATAGAGGTTCATTGAGATTCGTCCGAGCAGTTAGGAGGATCTGATGAAGTTATCTGGGCTCAGAAGTCAACAGAGTTGGATGTGGTTGCTACTTGGTTGGGAGGTTACCAGTAAATACTGAAATAGAATTCATAGGGAAGCTGAGACAATATCTGTGATGGAATGTTGTCTGGATTTCCAGAAGGAAGGGAGCGCATTCCAGAGGAGAAAATGACAACTCAGTTTAGATAGTTTGTGTGAGAGAAAGAGGGTGAGGATGGCTGCTCCCTAATAGTTCCCTTAATATATTCTTTGTGTGGCTAGTACTTTGCTTTAGTTTGGCAAGATGTTGTCTTTAGGAGAGGAACAATAATGAAATCTGCTTGGAAGATTCACAACATATCTTTCTTTGGTTTTGGAGCTTCGTGTCAATCTTGTAAAATTAAAGCTTGCTATCAACCCCATAAGGCATATATTCTGGGAATTATTAGGGAGGAGGGTTTTTTTTCATACAAACAACTAAAGTGAGTTATCTCTTGCTTTTCTAAATTGTTACTCCTTCCTGCCTGGGAATCCAGACGACGTTCCATCACAATTTTCTAGAAAAAGTCAGTAGCAAAAAAAATTGCCAAGAAAACTACATGGATATGTTAACACAATCACTAGAGATTGATTTGGACTCAAAAGAGATTTGACTTATTTAAATTTGGTCACTATTTCTTAGTCTTATTAAAACGTTTTCCCAAGCAGATATACTGATTTCATTCTGAGTATAACAAAAATCCTTCCTTCCTTCCTTCCTTCCTTCCTTCCTTCCTTCCTTCCTTCC